AAAACCACCGCGGCATCAGCCTTGTAGCTGTGGCATCAAAGTTCCTTTCTGGTCTCATACTTCGACGGTTGACTGAACACAGGGAGAAGCAGATCCACGAAATCCAAGTTGGGTTCCGTCCTGCAAGAGGATGTGTCGATCACATCCTCACCCTTCAAAAGCGCTAAGCTGTAGCACCCTTTCGGTGCTCAGTTTCCATGCCACCCAAAGGAAGCACCTGGGATACCGCCAGGTTTCCCAAACCTAAACAGGGAAGTCGAGATTCGGAGGTCGGGTTCGATCCGCTCAGTGAATTCACGCTCAATTAACTGTTCCACATCGCCCTCTTCACCCTCCGATGGATTCTGGAACAGCGACACTGCTTCTGGCAGCCAACAGTGGTCGTGTTCTGTTGTGTCTGTGTGCTAGCTGGATGTTAGGAGTTGGATGGAACTTATTCCATCACGTTGTTAGTCTAGTTATCCAAGTGGGAAAAACTCAAGGATGAAGACAGGACACCAGATGAAGACCGGCTACGTTGCAGATGAACCAGTGGAAGAAAGAGCGCTGCGGCTCAGTTGGTTACAACAGAGAGAAAATGAAATCTCAGTGAAATATTACAAAAGGTAGAAAAGTTCGTTTGGACCTGGCCGTCCTCCGTTTTCAAAATATGTGGGTCTTTAAATGTGAAGTCACCTGAATTAGTGTAAATGGTTTTGGGTTGCGGTTGGACCACCGTATTGGTTTGCATAGGGATTCCTCTAGGGGGTTGTTTGTTTACACCCGGGGAATGTGTGGATGGTAGCTCAAAAGTATCCATCAATATATCCAGAGGAATTGAGTTATCCGATGTAGCCGATTCAGCGTCTCCAGGGCGAAGTTGATTCGCGTGACCGACCCTTGTGGCAGACTGTACGTCATCTTCGTATATGGCGCTACCCATGCTGCCCTTGACGTAACCATGAGTCTATTTCTCTCCGCCGCTGCCATAGTCCTCAGCCATGACCGAATCACCGGGTTTATAGGTGGTGTGAACGGCACCATGATGGCGGTTGGACTGTTGCTCCATTTGTGTGTTCCTTTTTTGTAGTTGCGGAGGAGGTGGGTGTACTACACCTATGGGTAAACGGATTTTACGACTGCAAGCGCTTCCGCGAGTGAGTTGTTGTTTGGCACATTTGGGCTAGGTGTCGCACCGTAGCTTAACAATAAGGTTTCAATCTCCTTTGAAGTTCCCTCTCCTTTAACTTTTTGAAGTGCTCATTTAAGTGTCGACAAAGCGTTCGACTTGACCGTTAGACTGAAGATGGAATGGAGTCGATATAATGCAGCAAATGCCATTTTGCCTGCAGAACAAGGCGAATTCCGACGGAATTAATGCACTACTGTTGTCTGAAACCAATGTTTCTGGTATGTCGAATCGACTGAAGGTGCGGGTGAGCTTCGAGATTGTGGAGTGAGAAGTGATATGATCCGTCATGATTAACCCCGGCCATTTACTGCAAGCGTCAACCATGATAAGACAATGCTTATTGTTGGTCCAGCAAGGCCAACGTATAGACGCGACCAAGGGTTAGCTGGTGCGGGCCAGGAAGATAATTTGGTCTTCCGAGACGATTTCGCAGAACACTCATTTGGAGCAAGAATGCACAAGTTCTTCTAGCTGTTTGTTCATACTCGGTCAGCATACATAACTGCGCGCCAAGGCTTTCATGCGGTTGACCCCTGAGTGTCCAAAATGAAACTGGTTTGGTACCCGGGCTTGTGGTTCAGTTGGTATCATAACACGTTCACCAAAGAGAAGGCAACCGTCAACTTCAGATAGAGAAACTCGTCGGTGGAATAAGGACGGAATGTCTCATGTCACTGACGATGCCCAACGTGTTCGGTGATACTGTAATACTTGGAGCACGTGGTTTCGTCCGGCCCATTGTTTAAGTAACTGGAAGGGCTCGAATGGAGGCAGCGTGTATGGTGCAAACTTCCGGGTCGACAGAAATGGAAGTCACAGCCCTCTGTCGTTGTGAGTCTCTTAGTGTTGAAAAGGCATCTGCCTGGCCAATGGTATCCATATATCCACACTGATATTTGATTGAAAAATCATAGCCAAGGAGAATGGTCGCCCAGCACTGGAGACGGTTTACCGTGTATACCGAAACACCTTTCTTCCAACCGAAAATTCTGACGAGCGGCTTGTGGTCGGTGAGGAGTGTGAAATGGCGACCGTTAATCATTTTGTGGAATGTCTTGACGGCCAATACGATTGTAAGTGCTTCTTTTTCAATTTGACTGTAACTGCGTTCGCCTGGTGTCAAAGATCAGGCTGCGTGGGCCAGGAAAGATCGCATTAGTGGCATTCTCTAAATTGTATCAATGTTGTCCGGGTCAGGATGATGGCCAGACTTGTCGAAAATGAAACCCAAATATTTGATGAATGTAAGAAAGAACGCACATTTTTCTGCTTGGATTTGACCACCGTATATGGCGCTACCCATGCTGCCCTTGACGTAACCATGAGTCTATTTCTCTCCGCCGCTGCCATAGTCCTCAGCCATGACCGAATCACCGGGTTTATAGGTGGTGTGAACGGCACCATGATGGCGGTTGGACTGTTGCTCCATTTGTGTGTTCCTTTTTTGTAGTTGCGGAGGAGGTGGGTGTACTACACCTATGGGTAAACGGATTTTACGACTGCAAGCGCTTCCGCGAGTGAGTTGTTGTTTGGCACATTTGGGCTAGGTGTCGCACCGTAGCTTAACAATAAGGTTTCAATCTCCTTTGAAGTTCCCTCTCCTTTAACTTTTCGAAGTGCTCATTTAAGTGTCGACAAAGCGTTCGACTTGACCGTTAGACTGAAGATGGAATGGAGTCGATATAATGCAGCAAATGCCATTTTGCCTGCAGAACAAGGCGAATTCCGACGGAATTAATGCACTACTGTTGTCTGAAACCAATGTTTCTGGTATGTCGAATCGACTGAAGGTGCGGGTGAGCTTCGAGATTGTGGAGTGAGAAGTGATATGATCCGTCATGATTAACCCCGGCCATTTACTGCAAGCGTCAACCATGATAAGACAATGCTTATTGTTGGTCCAGCAAGGCCAACGTATAGACGCGACCAAGGGTTAGCTGGTGCGGGCCAGGAAGATAATTTGGTCTTCCGAGACGATTTCGCAGAACACTCATTTGGAGCAAGAATGCACAAGTTCTTCTAGCTGTTTGTTCATACTCGGTCAGCATACATAACTGCGCGCCAAGGCTTTCATGCGGTTGACCCCTGAGTGTCCAAAATGAAACTGGTTTGGTACCCGGGCTTGTGGTTCAGTTGGTATCATAACACGTTCACCAAAGAGAAGGCAACCGTCAACTTCAGATAGAGAAACTCGTCGGTGGAATAAGGAAGGAATGTCTCATGTCACTGACGATGCCCAACGTGTTCGGTGACACTGTAATACTTGGAGCACGTGGTTTCGTCCGGCCCATTGTTTAAGTAACTGGAAGGGCTCGAATGGAGGCAGCGTGTATGGTGCAAACTTCCGGGTCGACAGAAATGGAAGTCACAGCCCTCTGTCGTTGTGAGTCTCTTAGTGTTGAAAAGGCATCTGCCTGGCCAATGGTATCCATATATCCACACTGATATTTGATTGAAAAATCATAGCCAAGGAGAATGGTCGCCCAGCACTGGAGACGGTTTACCGTGTATACCGAAACACCTTTCTTCCAACCGAAAATTCTGACGAGCGGCTTGTGGTCGGTGAGGAGTGTGAAATGGCGACCGTTAATCATTTTGTGGAATGTCTTGACGGCCAATACGATTGTAAGTGCTTCTTTTTCAATTTGACTGTAACTGCGTTCGCCTGGTGTCAAAGATCAGGCTGCGTGGGCCAGGAAAGATCGCATTAGTGGCATTCTCTAAATTGTATCAATGTTGTCCGGGTCAGGATGATGGCCAGACTTGTCGAAAATGAAACCCAAATATTTGATGAATGTAAGAAAGAACGCACATTTTTCTGCTTGGATTTGACCACCTACTGAGGTTAAGCGATGAAGGAGTTCTTCCTGATCAGAGGCTGCCACAGTAATATCATCCAACTACGCCACAACGACTGTTACCCCATTAGGCTTAGCGTCCATTGTCTGTTGAAATATGGCTGGCGCCTTTGTTGCTCCAAAAGGGAAATTGAATCGAAAATACCATAGTGCGTGCTAATTGTTAGAAGATCCTTGGAGTCATTTGCAACTTCGATTTGTAAATAAGCATCAATTAGATCGAGCTTAGCAAGGCAAGTGCCTCCTTTGAGTTTGGTAAACAGTTCTTCTGGAACTTGGAGAGAATACTGATGTGAATCGAGTACAGCATTCAATCCTGTGGAATAATCAACACAATCCTGATCCGCTCATTCATCTTCTTGACCACAACAATGGGAGCTGTCCCGGAAGAATAGTTGGCAGACTAGATAACACCTGGTGGGGAGGAGGAGGTTCATGACTGTTGCAACGAACCCACAAAGAGACAACAGCAAATTGACTGTCCTTTTGTGCAACCTTGGTCTTAATCAAATTAGTCCATTACCAGATGCTGCAGTGCTCTGGCCATGCTTTGCGCATGCAGTAAACAGCACTGTTTTTCGTGCCTTTTTCAGGGTGGAGCAAGCAGAAAGGTGGTCAAACTTTAATCTGGCTGAAGGGTAGGAAGTCGGTCACGAAAGTTCTGGGTACTGTCACCACCTTCCGCATTCCAAAATTTGTTCCGCGTTACCTTCTCTTTGCTTGGCTAGAGACACTTCAAGATACGGCTGCCAATCGATGTTGATGAAGTTTTTTCCCAATTTCTATCCAAATTGAATGACTGCCTGGAAGTATGTGCGCCTATCCTTTCTTTTTTCACAAGATTTTCGAGTTTTGAATTTAGCGTTGGGGCGTCAGTCTTGAGCGAATGCCGACAGTGATGCGGAAAGGGGGATGAGCATATTCATTCCTTATCAAGCTTCCGTGATTTTCCATCCATTCTTTTGTTCTCAGGTGATTGATTTCACATGGCGGATTATTGGAAGAGTAACCCCAAGAAATTCTGCGATGTTTGCAAGTGTTGGATGGCAGATAACAAAATCGTAAGTTGTCAGTCGTGTAATTATACATTTTTCGATTTAGAGTGTGCAAAATCATGAAAGCGGACTTCGGCATAAAGCGAATGTGGAAAAGAAAATGAACGAACTCTTGCGGAACAATAAAAACAGTGAACGCGAAGAGCAAAAGCTCCGTGACAGTATCCAACAAATGAATGACGTAGGTTTCGCTGCTTCGTCTTGAACTGAGGTACAGAATGCGTTTGTCGGTATGATGAAAGATCTTGCGCGAGATCCAAGTCTCGCGAAACGATACGGAATCACTTTGACAGGTGTGTCAGTACATGTGACGTTTATTTTAATTAGATCAAGCTCAGCAGGATGTGCGAGACAAGGTTTCCGAGATAACTTCTAAAGACAAAACGAAGAAACCGGTGAGCACGCCGGCACCTAAAACTCCTAAGACAGCTACTCCTGAATGGCGAGAAGCTACAACGCCTGATGGTCGTAAATATTATTGGAACACTGTTACTCGTGTGACACAATGGGAACGACCTGAAGGCGATGTTGCACCTGAAGTTCTATCAGTTAAGGCAGAAAAGGAGCGCTTGCAACATTTTGTGCTCAACAAACTAGTCGAACTCAGTGAATCCGGTTCCAAAGATGCAACTGCGGCTGTACATCAAGCGTTCAATGCACCTTTGCCAGAAACTGAGTCTACTGAAGCGGACAACTTCGAGCCCATGAATCCCCCAACCACAAAACCTGAGCCACTATCCGGAAAAGCAGAGAAGATCTCATTCAACGGTCCGAAAATTGACCTACTTGGTCCCTGGGTCCCAGTTGAAGACGAGTAAGTATATTGGAAGAAGTTTGTGACCGTTCAAGGAGTCATCTTTTCAGCATGATTTGGTAAACAATCAGTGAATGTATTGCCGGAACTTATCGCTTTGTCCAACCAAGACCTCATCTAAGACGAAATGTTGCCCAGCAATGCATTCACCGAATATTTACCACAGGTCGCAAATTGAGTGAGCCTATTTTTCGTCTCTCACTCTGCGGGCTTCGATATTGTCGAACGGACTAACTGTCACACTTATTCTCTTTTGTCTTTCACTTTCTAACAATAGGTAGACTTCCGATCCATAGTCCCCAACTCTGGTCATGTGCATTCTCACCATCGTCGTTTCGTTCGGCAATTTTTCAAGCTCGAAATGGCTCAGTTTTTATGGCACGAACTTACCGGAAGGTCCGTGGTTCGAACCAAACCTCTCTTGACTGCCACAGGTCGCAAATTGAGTGAGCCTATTTTTCGTCTCTCACTCTGCGGGCTTCGATATTGTCGAACGGACTAACTGTCACACTTATTCTCTTTTGTCTTTCACTTTCTAACAATAGGTAGACTTCCGATCCATAGTCCCCAACTCTGGTCATGTGCATTCTCACCATCGTCGTTTCGTTCGGCAATTTTTCAAGCTCGAAATGGCTCAGTTTTTATGGCACGAACTTACCGGAAGGTCCGTGGTTCGAACCAAACCTCATCATCTTGACTGCTCCTGTGTCAGCTTTGGCAACCTGACAGTATCTGAGCCCTCGTGCTTCCTTCGGGTCGTATGGTAGCTGGGCACTGTAGGAGTGTTACGGCTGAACGAACGACAATTATATCTAGAAATCCCTTCACGGTGTAGAAATCGATGTGTCGAACGAGTTTAGGAGCTTAGGCAACAGAATTAAATTTAGTGTGTGCCACGTTGATATGAACGTAAGTTGGGGTCGAAAAGGATGGTGACTGCCTAATAAAATGCCGTGGTCATTAGATATCCTGGAAGTAGCAAGAAACATTGTTATACACGGTATGCCGCCACGTGAGTACGTGAGTGGTTCTCCCTCACACGAGATAGCCCAAGTGGTTAGAGTGCGAATTTACTGACCGAAAAATCCGTGGTTCAAACTCGACATCCGCCTCTCGACTTCCTTTGTCTAGACTTGTGTAACCTGGCAGTATCCCAGCCCTCGTGCAACCTTCGGGTGGCATGGCAGTTAGGCACCGAAAGGCTGGTACAGCTGAAAGATCTCTCCCCCACACTTCCCTATCTTACAATGAGTGGATGAAAGCACCGTTTTCACGCACCACTTTTCTTCTTGTGGAAGATTGATACGATCCGTCTTAACTTGCTGCCACATCTCTCTTTCTTGGCGTGTTTTTCGGTCAGGTTTGCGGAAATCCTGCCTAACTGACTTCTAACTACAGGGCGAATGACAGGCTGCTGTCCATAGTAATTCAAGCTGTTCCCATAAAAGCTCACCAAGACAGCACTAGCGGTTAGAATGCTATTTCCCTCGTGAGACTAATATAATTCGAAAGCCACGTGCGTCATCCTGATTGGTCACTGAACTTGTACGGTTTTATATGGTAGGAAATCGAAAGGCAGTTGTCTTTCTTCGGACTGACCGTGTTGTCTCACAGTCAAATAACTAGTAAACACCCATGAACTTCGACAATCAGTTCGATTTTCCTATATCAGAAAACCACGTTGTCCCGAAGGGTGTTTTTGAATTGTTACTTTCATTCTACTCCGGGTTTTGTGACTGTTTCTCGAAACCGAATGCCCGTATTCCTTTTGATTAATAATTTTCGTGTGCCCCGTTTTAGCAGATGTCGGAGTGGATGTAAGCAAACCCCTCGTTATTCTTTGTCAGAAGTCCATTATCCAATTAGAATTTCCCACTCTGACGTGCGAATATCAATCACTAAGCACCACGGATAACAGCTTATCTGGCATCGATTTATCCTCAGAGCCAACAAATAATACTTTGAATTTTTGTCAACGTGAAAGGCTTGACCATATCACTGGACAAAATCGTCTGATGTTTATCTGGTCATGGCCTAAACAGTAATCATCATCGTTGAAACTCTTCATAAGGTGTTTCTATATCTACATCCATTTTCAACTTCGCTTCACTTATCCTATTCGTTTTTGCTACTCGATATCGTTCGTCCGTTTATTCTTACTCGTGTCTCCTTTGAGTGGTTTCGCAAGTGAGCACCCGAAGGTGTGGTACGTCTGAACGATATTTTTGTGCTTGCTTAACCCAAGTTGGGCACGAGCAAATACGCATCCAGCATGACCCATACCGAAAATGTAGACACTTAATGATGTCATGGTTGTTTCTGGAGGTAATCTGCATTTTATGGTAACATGAGGGCAACCTTTCTTATTCTACCTGTATGGGGGGGGCGAGATGGCCCAAGTGATTAGAGCGCGAATTTACTGATCGGAAGTTCCCTGGTTCGAATCTGACCTCTGCCTCTCGACCTTCCCTGCCTAAGCTTGGGCAACCTGGCAGTATCCCAGCCCTCGTGCAACCTTCGGGTGGTATGGCAGTAAGGCACCGAAAGGGTCCTACAGCTGAACGATTTTTTTTACTATTTCTACGTGTATGCCCAACTGAGGATGGTTGCAGTGAAGTCAAATGGATGTACTGTGAAGTGTTAGGTTCGCACAATCCTAACAATGAGAGCCTCGGCCTGGACGTTGCGCATAATGTAGTTCCAATGAACGACGTTCTTCGAATAGCATGGACTAATTTAGTCAATGTTTTGGAAATTTATTTTGTCTGTTTTTCATGGTGTAAAGTCGTGTTTAACTGAGAACCGCCAACACTCCCTCGAACACTGTTCATCTTTTTATTCTTTTTGGTCTACAAACTGTCATTCATGTACCTCATTGTAGGAGTGGAATAAACTCACAAATCGCGTGCCTGTGAGGATCTTTTTCCATTTCTTCTCAGGGTTCCTGCAAAGCTCCCCAAACTTGATCTTCCCACTGAACACTCTAACCGTAGCACACAAATGGCTCCCACCTCACATGGGCACACCAATACGGCATTCTCCCTTCTCACACATTTGGAGGAAACAACGGAAGCAGATATTCAGAATGCGCGTCACTTAGAAACAACCGAGAAAGAAATTGTTCCTGGTTCAGTTTCCAATACTGGTTCCAAAGTTCAGTCTAACGTGCCGCGACTCGTTTTTCGGCGAGGTCCTTCATCTGCAGCATCTCGGAGCTTCCGTGGTCCCAGTACAGACGAATAATCCATTAGGTCAATTCCCCTTGCTTTCAAAGTTACGATTGTAAATATACTGATATGCTTTTCCTGTTTTATTTGTCGTATTCAATTTACATGGTATTTTTAGAACGAATTATGTAAGATTAATAGCATACGGTAGTGAAGCATCGGTGTTGAACACTGTCATGCTGTCGATGATGATGAAGATTAATAGCACGCCTATCAATTTCTAGAATAGATGAACTCGGGTTTCATTTAATTTATGAAGCAGGTGAAAACACGAAACTTTCAACTCTTCGGACGTCACAGAAGAGCCTTTAAACGTTTCTTATTTGCAAGAATAATAATTCGTCCGCGTACAGTACGCGGCTTCAACTGCTTTACATATTTCCCAATCGCAACGACTGTGTCCGACAACACGTCCGTGCCATTGACTCCCCCAGAACAGGCTCCTAGTTGATGGATTGTCACCACTGCGACATTTCGCGTTGTTGCATCCGTTTCCTAATCTCTTCATGCACAATTCATCGGTGCAGCTGCTGGAACAGCTGTGCAACTTCTACTTGACTTACAGTTGATGGTGATGATGAGCTCGACTACCGTTTGGCAACTGAATTTCGGATTGGACCAATCTTGTTTCAACGATGACACCGGTGGTTGAGTCCTGGCATCCCATTCTCATCTTGGGTACGAACGCCTTGAATGATTTGATAAAATTTTGAAATGAGAAGCAAAAAAGAGATGGGGTTATTTCTGGTTTGCGGATTCGCAACTGTCACGTCTTCATATTCACACGAAAATCTTGCGTGAATATGGCTGTGTGCGTTGTGTGCAGGGGTGCATTTCAGTGACAAGGTGACCAAGAACGCTTCAGATTTAGGGGGACCGGGGTTTATGTATATACTTTCCTGCGCGAAAAGCATTCAGAACTAACAACAATAGTCCAGAACCCCCACTTGGTACTCGTAAACAAGCAAAAGATGCTACACAGAATGTGTTATATATTGGAATGTCTTATTAATGAACTGTTTCTATAGATCTCGCAGTAGTAGGTTTTGACGTGAAGAACGATTCCAAACCGGACGGGATCAGCTTAAATGGTAGGCACTTTTACATTTTATTCGCCAAGATAATCTGGTCGTGTAATCATGAAGACGGAGCGTACTTGATGACAGGTCTGAAACAAATCATTAGCCTATGTTGAGGCGTGGACTGGCTGGATTTGTTGTGCAGGTTTGAGTAGTATTCTAAATTAGGTCCTTTTGACTCGACTATTTAGAAGGTATCCCTCATTTCGGGGGGAAACGGCATGATGCGATGCAACCGTATTCTTCGATAAGATATAGGTACCGAAGTAGCTCCTAACCACCCGTGCAGAATCGTGTCTACTCCACTCATGTTCTGTTGTACGGAGCAAATTCCAATGTCATTGCAGTCGTTGATCCTTACAAAGTACTGCGGGATGACTACATTTGGTAATCGCTATGGAGGTTATTTTGTGCTAGAGGTGAATAACCAATCGGCAATAATGTCGATGGTTAGCAAAGATGGTCCGGAACCTCAGGTAGTTTTCCACTCATACAGCTTCAGGAAACATGGGTAAATACCGACATTCCGTTGTTCTCCGACAGTACTGTAACTGTCGTTGGTCATCCTTAGTTTTTCATTAGTGTACTGTAACTTCCAACTGAGCTGGAAGGTCCGTAGTTTGCCTTTGAGACAGGAAAGTAGTCTTCGCACGACGTGCTCCTCGAGGGTTCCGTGCAGTTACAGTCTGATAACTACACAGTTGAGCATGCATCGAAAGATCCAGCCTGCCGGTGCTTCGATGTGTCCTTAGTGGTGACTAGAGCCACTTGACCAGCCTGCCTTGAACGCCAAGCCGCGTATACGAATTCCTGGTTTGCACGAGCCATGAGGCTAATAGTTTGTGTAGTGAATTAAGTTAAGCTTATCAATGAATACCAGAAGTTTGCCCGGACTATACCAGATTATACCAGTCTTCTGACTCTGCTCGCATGGTTTGGGAGCAGTTGGATTGAGATTATGAAGATTTCATATAATCTGTTTTAGGGACTGTGCAGCTACCTATTCCATCTCCCCAAATCATCGGTGAATGAAACTGGCAGCTAGAACCATTGTGCGGCAAGGACGCGGTTCTTACGGCTGATGATTTTGGGCTGGTATTATGCAGAGTGGTCCGATGGTAAATCTGATGGAATCGAGATAAGCTAGTGTATTTAGGAAGAAGCCCGTTACCGCAAGGAGGTGATTCGGGGCAAGCATTATACTCTCTAGCATTGCCCAAATCCGGTGGGAACACCGGATCAGTAATGCTGAAGTACGTCGAATGATATTGGGAAGAAATAACTCACCCTCGACAGATGAACTGATCACACTGCATAGGTTGCCGTGACTTGGCCACGTGCTGCGTATGCAAGTTGACCGACTTCCTCGAAGGGCTCTTTTCGCACAACCACGTGAAGGGTGGAAGAGGGCCAGAGGCGGTCAAACTAACTTGGCAGCAAAGTGCGAAACCAATACCAGCAAACTCAGCTGCGCTGGTCATTGCCGTCTTCCTGAATGGGGACCCCGAGACGGTCAGCGTCAATGGTTAGAGACATCGTCAGACATGGCCCAGTTGCGCCCTCAATGGCGCTCATGCATCCAAGCGATTGCCTTCTATGCATAGCTCACTTTATGCTTGTGCCACTTGCTTACTAGCATCAGAGTTGGTCCGTTGGCATTGTAAGATTTCGAAAGTTTTTGCTCTGGAAGTGTATGTGTGCTGAAAAGCCGATAGACATCGAGTAGCCGTTTTAGTTTTATTGAGAGTCATCCTACGAATTCCTAAGGAGATTCGAATCAACGTTCTGTCGGTTTCTAGTGGAAGACTACCGCTTAACCCCCATGGGAAGTCTTCACTGAAAGAGCCAGTCAACTTGTGGTCAGATGAAGTTGTGGAGCGACTGGAGGATGATTGATGCTGTGTCCTGCCTTCAGTTGCCGCTAATCAGCCACTTAGGACCAGGTGGTATAATGTTCTGCTACTCCTCGGAAGAGTGCATGTTTTAATTGACACAAATTTTCATTTGAGTTGAATTGTTGGTGATTCCTAACAGACAAAACGGCTATCCAGTGCTTCTTTCGGCATTGGTTAACTTTACTTTAAAAAGTCTTCAGGGCACGTTCACAGCGACATCCCAGTAGTATATAGTCCCAGAAGGTTTGATGATCATGCTGCATAATTTCTATTCACTGATTTGTAGTTTGAATAATCACTTCCAAACATAGGTCGATATATGAAACACGGGCTGCAAGATTTTCACCGGTAATCACACCTACGATGGGGGAAACTTCACGAAAACAGTACAGGATATCTACGTTTGCGACAGTGTAGGAGTAATAAGTTGCTCGGTCGAAAACGCCGCCGCCTGTTGAATAGTTCCGCCACTTTCTCGAAGATCTCCTCTCGTTAGTGTGTTTGATCTCCCGAGGGTGATTGGGACCTGCCAAGCAAAAGGAATTTCATTGTGTTTACTAAACTCAGTTCACGGTTCTAAATGCACACATCAGCTGGGTAGGTCAGCCAGAAACAGCTGAACCATGTACGAAATGGATAGAAGCACGACTTCGCTAAGGAATTTAGTACACTTCGGTCCGCATCAGGAACAGTTACTTTGGACTTTGCTAGCCACCGTTTGCATAGCAGAAGCTTAATGAAACTTTCTAACTGAAAATACGTTCAGGGTATGTTAGGCTTTAGCTTGCTCATTCAGTGGATGAATGGTGCCGATCATTTGGAAGAAACTAGATAAGTGTCTTTACTTCACATTTTAAAGTTGATTGCGGTGAACTGTATGATCTATAGATACCATTGAACCCGTGTGACAAATTAGTGCTCAATGTATCCTCTATCGCCTCCGGTTTTTGGCGATGATTTGCCGTCCTGATAGTCGGCTCAGTACAGTGTTTTTTTCAGGGTCTATATGTGGACTTACTTGGAAAGGGGGACTTGTTGCATCGAGGGGTTCTCTTGTTGGGTAGTCCCCTTTACCAAAACCGCCTTGCTTTGCGCTTGAGAATAAGAACAAGGAAAGCGGTGGCCCAAAAATTATGTCTTCATATTCTTCGTGCCGTTTGCGTAAATCCTGAAGTATAGAGCGAATTCGTTCGTACTCCGCCTGTGGCACATTTTTGCTGAAACAGAATATTACATCATAAACCGTGAGCAGAGTTACAGAGTCAGGCTACGTATTTGATGCCAAAAAAGTTACGCCTGATCTGTCTGATGAATTATGAATTATGGAGAGCTTATTATTCCTTCTCCGACAAGTTGTTAGTCACAAAGTAGATTCTGAAAATTTTGAAGATGTCGTGCAGAACAAATAGATAGTACCTCCGGATGGAGCATTAGATAATAAAGAGTCATTTGGCTTCTAATTTGTTGTCTCTTCACGTATGGAACGATGTGGCTGATAGTTAACTGTGTTGTGGGTCACTCAGTCGAGGGTCACTCCTCCAGAAGGATGTTTCCGTACAGTAATGGATTCACGTGGAATTGGCAGCTTGTCTCTCACGAAAAAATCAGGACTTCTGCTGTAGGGTGTTTCCTCTCCCGAGGAAACAGCCCCGAAAATTACTTTCATGTTTATTGGAACGGCTGCTTCACTTCAGCTAATAAACAGTGGACAGAATCATCTCTTCCATTGACCAAGGTCAATGATTCGACGGACAATTCAAACAACTCACTTTACTAGCATTAGTGTTGAATGTCGCGCTATATAAAACGGATTTTCTGGCTTGGCACATTCTGTAGTTTACCCAGTCTACAAGAGTCGTAGTTTTCTCGGCTAGAGTTTGGATTGAAAATAATTAACTTGAAGGTTTTGATAAATTAGTTTCCCGTTCAGCAGTGTTTTCACTGAGGCTTCGTACTTTAAGGTTCGAGTTTACAATGCTGCAGCGCGCTCCGTATTACCGTATGGATCAGAAAACTGGCCGCTGCTCGCCGAGGACGTCAAAAGACTTTTGGTGTTTGACCATCGATGTCTTCGGAGCATTGTACGGATCTGGTGGGAACACCGGATCAGTAATGCTGAAGTACGTTGAATGGTATTCGGGAGAATTAACTCACCCTCGATAGATGAACTGATCACACTGCATAGGTTGCGCTGGTTGGACCAAGTGTTGCGTATGCCAGTCGACCGACTTCACCGAAGGACTCTTTTCGCACAACCACATGAAGGGCGGAAACGAGCCCAAGGTGATCAGTGACTTGGCAGCAAAGTATGAAAGTCATGACCACCTGCGCTGGTCATTGTCGTCTTCCTGAATGGGGACCCCTAGTCGAGCCATATTAATGGTTAGAGACATTGTCAGACATGACCCAGTCCCGCCCTCAATGGCGCTCATGCATCCAAGCCATTGTCTTCAAGGCATAGCTCCATTTCCAATTCCCCCACTTAACAGTCCACCTACAGTGCTGTATTTACGCACTAATCAGCTGCTGCCTCCAATGTGCATCTACCTACCCTACCTCCCCAAATCATCAGCGAACGAAATTGTGGCAGCTACAACCACTGTACGACAAGTACGCGGTTATTACAGCTGACAATGATGATGATGATTTAGTGGAGATAGTGTTTGCTGAGGAGCTCAGAAGATCTGTACAGCTGTTTCATCTTTACTAGAAATCACCATCTGACACAATTAGGAAACTTTTGAACCCATGCCACCCCCTCCCCCAGATAGTCGTTTTTGAACAAATAAACATTTGACAACGAGCTGCTGTTCTGCAATGCAATTAAGTCGCATTCAGTTAGTATATGAGACCACTCATCCTTTAATCACGGAACCCATATCATGCGTTGTCTGGCTCTTCGTGTGACGACTTCTCAGACGGAGGTTTTGCCCAACTTGTGGAATTATTCTTTCTCTGAGTTACTCATAGATTATTGGTAGTAAGGGGCTTTAGGTATTTTTATTCGAGATTCCATCCTGAAAGCAAAGTCAATCTACGCTGAAGCAATGTTCAGCCGTTTCATTCTTATTGAAAATCATCCGAAATATGCACGTCAACAACTAAAACGAAACTACGTTATGTAGATTCTTTGCACGAAAGAGTATCTCGCCATATCCCGTCTAAGTGCAACTTAATCACCTTGTTGATCAGCTACTCGTGGCCGGACGATTAAGTGTTCAAACTACTAGTCTGGAGGCCGACGGTTGGAAGCACACTGGGGTTTCGTGAGATACTCACTGTTACTGATTCCCAATACAGTGCTTCTTGGTTTCTCCGCATATATTGACCTTACTGACAGGACAGAATCGCAGTCGAAAATTCCAACATCCCCTCACTACCAAGAAATTTTAAGTCAAGACAGCATTTTTGCTGTTATATCATCAGTCACCCTCATGAACCCATTTGCTCTCTATTACTTGGTCTGTTGTGGATGTTGGCATTGCCAAAGAATACACACAACTCCCACTCTCAGTGTTTAAATATGCAAGTTTCGTATCGTTTCCTTTCGCATCACGGAGTTGCCATAATGGCCGTGCTTTGTTACGGGTTTGTGTGTGCTATTTCGAATCTTCCAGGGCTATCCATAAAATCTATATGTGACCCTTCTACACCTCTGAATCATATTTGGCTGAGGAGATAAAAGTTTTTCCCCAAAGGTCATATTCTTGTTTTGTTCTGCGCTAGTAGAGTTTGGCTCGTGTTGTAGCCATGATCGGATGTACTGGTGGCGTCAGTGCTACTTACGAGTTGTCTAGCTTTTACTTAGCCATAACCCGAAAGATGGGGAAGGAATACCATGAGAAAGGTTTGATGAATTCTGTTGCACTCTTACATCCGCAGATAAGTGGATTTTATTTAGCCGCTTACAGAATATAGACAGAAGGCTTCTTTGTTGGTTGACTCCAAAGAGACGTCTCAAGGGAATAATTTTGAAATTCCTGAACAGGCTTGCCTCGTGGAGCTGGTTTTAGTGGATTCTGGTAGTTCATTTTGAGAATATCAGATTTGCACATCCGTTCGGCTATTATCCTACATTTTCTTGGTTAGAAGTTGAAGGGTCAAATTTTCACACGTTGGGTACACGACTCATTTTTCAGTGAAATGGCTTTGAATTCAGGTGCTAGTGCACCAGCCTACTCAAGAAGACTTACTCGATTAAGTCTATTGTAATTCATCAATTAAGCAGAGTGAATAAACACCAGACCAAGAATGCTATCATTCAGAAAATAAATCAGCGACAACAACGGTCAGCTCTACCTCATGTGTGGGTACAACACTCAACCAGACAACACGGGTAAATTAGTAACTGATTTGTGAGGTACCGTAGTGAACGACAAATATTTGCCACAACATAGATGCGGGAAATTAGTATTGGTTTTCTGAAGCTACCTTGATCTTCTGATCTGGTGAAATAACTAAAGGACTGCAAATGTGAAATAAAAATGCTTGTTATATGTAATAACTGGTTGACAAAGTGTGATATACACGCATTGGGAAGTTAGCACTGTAGCCATATTTGATGTATAACAACACTGTGGCTTGACTTGGGTGTACAAAGTCAGTGATGGTCTGCTTGTAAATGTTGATAGATATAGAAACGAAAACACTTCTTAAGTGAATGCAATGAAAGATTTCCTGGAAGCCTTTTTTCTATTCATTTTCAATCAACGTCATCCAGGAAGAATTATAGTGCAATCGGGCAGGTTCAAGACAGTTTCGTCTCTCGTTAGGCAACTTTAAGTCAGCTTCATGAAGTGTATCTCACAAGTTATCGGAACTACGTATCTTCACCAAGCAGTAACCCACAATATTGCCTCAATTCTCCAGAAGATCTGCCCATTATCGATCAGGACTATTACATGAGGGTTATATCAAAATGGAACTATGCAGCCCCTATTGAGTTGTAGCAAATCCAGTGTTGCTTCCCCCCTCCGGTCAATTTCTAATGGCCAACTGAAAAGATGTTTTGGGAACCAACTACGTCCGTTAACTGTAAAGTGAAGAATAATCACCCCATCCCCTCCCATCTGTGAAGACTCCAATGATTATCTTTGTGTTTTAAGAAACCTTAGCACAATGAGCATCTTGCTGGGATGCTATTCATTGCAGCTATTCGTCAAGCAATGTACTGAGTCATCGCACAGAGTTCCGACCACGAGAGAGACATTTCAAATAGACTACCTTCGTAGGTTGGTTCTAACTTAATGAACCACAAAGTCGTTTATTCTAGAGAAATTAACCCAACTAAGGGGCAGGGGTTTGGTCCTTTTCACTCACCTCTCGGACTGTTTATACAAAATAGTATGGCACTTCAGAGTGAAATTTGCTTGTTTTACCAACCCTGATGGGCTGCGCCATTCACTTTGAATCAGATGTTCAAAAGAAAAGTATCTATACGGATGAATGCACAATTGAATGGCCAGTGGATATTTGCTCTTTTTGTTGCCATCATCCTTCGTTCACGCTGTGTGCACTTCATCGCGTTTGTTAGATATAATCGGACTTAATAAAAGTACTCACCTATGAAAGTGGTGATCTATGTGTATGAGGCGCTGCCATCAGCAACCAGCTGGAACTCCAAGTTTACACCCCTTCTCAAATTACCTTACTTGGTGTACCCTCATGGCGAGACTCTTGAAAAAGTAGGCTTTGGGGTTATGTTCTGTGTTGCCGCTATGATTATTTCTGGCTCTTTCATGAGAGAAATACGCTAGTGGCTGCAGATTATTTACTGGCTTAGGGAGGCACAGAGCAGAATGTCATCGCCATCGTGCAGTAAAGCCATTTTTCTGGGCTTATATGTGGCAGTCCGCTAACTTTCACAAACTGTCGTTAGGCAACTGCACTTACTTATGGTGTGTGCTTTCTGGGGAGCGAAAATGCAGCCTACTTCATGTTTTCAATCTTCTATCTTATTTACACAAGTACTTCCTCAACACGATCACACCGAAGTCAGACGACTGTAGCGTGCTTGTATTAAACTATGCACTCTGGGCACCATGCCCTAACATTGAGGCCAATTTGGGGGATCAGCACACGATCACCCGTTCTATTCGATTTGGAACCCCATAAAACTGAAGTAAACGCGATGGAACGTAGATCTTGCCTAAAATGCGACAAACTAGGTGTAAGTCAAATGTTCGTGATCATCCAGAAACGCGTTTACTCCCGAGAACTTCTGTCCAGTTATGTTTTCTACAGCAGTATATTTACGTCTTTCGCTGGGGAAATTCTGCATTGAGAATCACAACATTTTTATAGAATCAATAAGCAGATTTCAGTCTTGTGGTACTGGGATGAGGTGGGCGACATTAAGTGACCTGGGAGCAGGATCTGCTTATTCTCTGAAGGTATTTTGAGTGCACACTTGGACGTTTGCACACAATAAATGAATTACGATGTTGATGTTTACTGACTGCGAAAAACATTAAGGCTAAAAATCTCAGTTCGTGTTGCTCAGTCATCTGAAGCACGGTGCGTACACGCAGACGCATCCATCCTTTGTGTGGTCTCGGAAAGACGGTCGAATCGTTTGGTAATGAATTTCCGATTATTTGCTTTTTCTGAGAGACAAGGGCTAAAAGAGGCTGGTATCATTCTAAGCTCGGCTTGCATCACTTTGGAATCTCAGTATAGTTCATATTTGGCACCCATCTTAGGATAAGGGGACCAAAACTTACCGTAACAGATCATTTTCAGCGCGCAGTTTCTCAAGCTCAAGTTGTTGCAACTGAGTCTCTTTTTTCATCTGCTTTATACGTTCTTGCAACGTTCGTTTTTTCTGTAAAGGTGCACAAAAAACTGGTCTTCACTTTCACTGGACTGAGCAATTTTTGGTCCTTTCCTAACATGGAGCTTAACACATTTCTACTTGTGGTGCAGTATAGTGTTGTATGGTATAGCACAGTATGTTTTCTCCATCTTTCTCTTCTACGGAACCTTAGGTTTTACAGTTTCCAAAAGTCTGCACATTACAACGCATTCAGTGGAAACTGAAGTTTCCTGAGCACAACTGAAACTGTTTGAATCGGACTGAGAAAATTCATGAATGCCTTCTAGCTTTGACGTATAAGCTGCCCATCACCGCAGATGTGGGCCAAAATGTGGGCATTTTCTGAATAGTGTAGGTCAACTAGAAGTAAAGCAAGTGAGCCATCTTTTATGCAGTTTCAGATCATGTGCCCTAGGCACCGTCAAGAAGTGGAATTAACTATACACTCGCCTGGCTGGCTCCCTCCATATAGTGTTTGAAGCTGCTTCTCACAGATGCGAGCTGCTGCTGCAGTTCCTGATTGGTGTCTCGTAGCTGTCGGTTTTCAGCATCCTTTATCGAAAGCTGCATCGCGTTCAGCTGCCTGTCTTCCTTGCCGGTTGGAACAGACTTGGAAATAGAAGGGAATCAGGTCCGCATATAATACCGAGTCAAACCGCCGAAAAAGTGAAACCAGATTATTTACTATATCAGATTTTTGACTCTCCAGTAATCCCTTAAGTAAGCAGTTCAAGGGGGTCGCTAAAAACCTGAGGGCTTTAAGTGGCAAACGGCAGGTACAGAGTTACATGTTTTAAATCTACGGGTTTGTGGTAGCAGCGCACAAGATGGGACAAAACTGTTCATGAAATCCACGGTGCATGTGTGTTGGTGCTACGTGCAATGTGGCAATGTAAGCCTTCGTAACGAATGTCAAGCCAACTTTTTAGATCAGTCACCGAATAGGATGAAACTACAAAAGGAGGAAGGTGATTCATCGGTTGACGTATCCATAACAAACTCTTTTGGCAGTCCAACCGACTCAACTGGTCGGCTAGCTTTGAGCAACTTTACGCAAAAGCCCTGGAATATTGAGACAAGTGTCCAATAATCCAGGAGTCACCAATGAAATTTTTAGTTTGTCTACGTACATTACAATTCTGATATCCCTCATAATCTGGTTCGTTGTTGCTTGGGTGTTGTTTGATTCTAAGCGCGAGTTGCCAAACTTCTATGGTTTACTTGATGTGTGATTATGACACCAGATGGACTAAACTTTTCGATGAATTGTCTCAAGATAGCAATTTCAAATAGCTGAAGCCTTCGTGGATTGGAGCGATTAGCTCAGACTCTACTGTACAGAAGCATGAAAGTCGTTTTCTTGAAAAGTACGTGACAGCTGAGTTCCTATGGAGTGGGCATAAGTTTCTTGGACACAATGAGGATCGTGTTATTCCTTGATGCTATTGCGCTTGTATAGTTCATCGGCTGATCAGGTTGTGAAATGCTGACAGAAGAAAGACAAAAGGTCACACTACTGACGACAACATCAAAACACGGGGAAAATCAATTTTTTTCGAAAACACAGGATATTTCGTGTTCTTTAATGAACTCTATGAATCTGTTCTTCATATGAAACCCCACTGCGACAAACGATGACGGTCAAATCTCAATAACGGTTGTTTTCGGACCACATCACGCTATAACAAACTGCAAAAGAACAAGGATATAAATGCTTTCAGTTTTCATATCGGAAATTAGATGCAAAGCTGATAAACACTAGCATACCTTTGCGATGGAATTTTCAAGTTTCTCCGCCAACCGACGGTTGCATTCTTGCACCTGTATCAAACGTCCGTTTAATTCGTCAAGTTCACGTCTCATTCGTAAGCTTTCTTCATCATCCTATGGTTAGGAGAGAACTGTAAGCATTCAGCCGAAGGACCGACACATGAGTTTTTCTACTAGTCACATACCATGGAAACACTGCGCCCAAAGACTTCGACCACACGAATCAGCTCAGAACAAAGCCGAACGGATAGAATACTCATTGGTATCTCATTTAAGAAGCAGTAACAGCAGTTATACTCTCTGTAAGGAGGCCGTCTGCCTATGGAGGGAACGGATTGTATGTGGAATGGAATTTATTGTTAAAACGAGATTTATGTGATCTCTTTTGAGAGTGGTCTCTCCAGAGGGCTAGGTTATCGTCGAACTGAGTTTGTAGAATTTAGATTTTGGACTGTATGAGTTGTTAATGAATACCGAGAGAATCGCAACTCGAATGTATCGACTAGAACAGTCCAGCCTTTTGACCACCGCACGTGGTCTTTTCTTCTTGATGAAAGTGTGTCTCCGTCCACTCTTCATGCAGTCGACCTGTCAGACACAGAGTATCCAGCCCCTAAATGAAAATCTCCATATACGTTTTATCGACGGTAATGTCTCCAGCAAATTACCTGGACAGAATTCTCAGTCTGGAATAAAAACTTGTTTCTTGTGGTGTCAGGAAGTTCACTGAAATCCTCTCGACTGAGGCCATAACTGATGGACACGAGCTTGTGCCAAATATGCAGTATCTCACAGATAACTGTGATTGGCCACACTGGCCACACAATGCAGAGCAGTGTACACACATTTGAGTTTTTCAAGAGTGTAGCAAAGGAGTCAGCTCATCTTGGTAGTCCATCTTGGTAGTTCGGCAAGGAAGTTGACTTATTAAAGTACTTCAGAAAGTAGGTTGCGGTAAAAATTACCTATCTACTTTCAACATCCCACCAAAAGCAATTGGACTAAAATGGAACTTTCACTGAAGGTTTTCAGCAGTGCATTAAATTTCAACAAGTTTAAGTTGTCAACTAGGTTCAGGATATTGCCCGTCGAAAGTTTCCTGGTCCAAGCGAAATGCACTCCTTTGTGAACAAATTTGGTCTTGGGAAAAACTCACCTTGAACCCTGATGAATCTCCCGTTTGTGATGTTTCCAGTTTATTACGAATATACATGTATCGCGATATCTCGAATATCGTAGACTGAAACATGAGGCGGTCTAGTGCAGCACATTCAGTCGCCTGGAAACATCAGCTGGGTTCCATGTGAGTCTCTCGCAAAACCAAGTTTGTTTGTGGATGAGTGTATTTCGCTAATTTCGCGCAATTTGTTTTCAAGTAGAACATGAGGTTGAAGGAAACTCGGAGACTGCGCTACCTGATGAGCTCCAAGAAGGGCGAAACCGGTCGTGAGCTGTCGAAGAATTTTCAGTAACCTTGTGAGAAGTGCATTGCGGATTCCTAGTCTTGCTTTTCACGGTGCCACCTTTCGCTACAGATAAATAGCTCCGGAGTTTCACTCATGTCATCAAGTAGGGGTGTGATTTCACATTCTAATATCCAAAGGAAGAGCTTTTCGACGTTGCGCGATCTCCTGCTATAACTCAGCTGCTTGAGCAACTATCGTTGAACCGGGAAACTGAGGTGTACATTTCTTTCTATGATGTTCCTATCAAAGTTTATTGCACAAATCCGTACTGTCAGTCAACGGGAAGGCTAGTTTTCGACAAACAATACAGCTACCAACCTGTCAAAATCTTAACCAAAACAGTACCTTTGGTTTGATCGACTTCTGAGCAGTTTCTTCAGAATTCAGAGCATGTTGTGTTATTCGCAGCTGCTGGGTCAGTTGTGATACTTTAGCCTCCAACCTTATGATTTCGGTGCCTAGTTCTTCTCGAACAGCAGTTTCGCGCTCGGTGGCTTCCAGTTCTCGTTTTGCTGAAGACGACTCCACCTGTTGACATCGGTCGCCCATTAGCTGAAGGTCACGTTCAAGAGCTAAAGTGAAAATGTCGAGCAAGTAAGAAACTAGTGTACACTGTAGCAATACACAATAGTCACACTGGCATTCTAATCAAACCCGTATTTGCTTCCAGAATACCGGGAAAACTTTCACACCAAAGCCTTATTTTATTTTTCATGCTTCTGAATTCTACTTAAGTAATAGCACCGACACGGAGGAGCGAAGGCATAAGATACTGACTGTTTAACTCTAGTTCTAAAGTTGATTGAAAATAACTCGAAAACTTTTTTGAATTCCCTACAATTAAAGACAGCCAAAATGTACGCTCAAAAGACCATAACAGTCTGTTTTGCATATTGTACCACTCAGCTGATATTTGGATCAAAGACCACACAACTCACTGATAGATGTGACAAAGCTCTGTTACCGAAACACTCCTCATTCCTACGGTTCACATCCTGAATCATGAGGTCGTCATCGGGATACGCTAATTTCGCTAGCGTGCTTGTCTTTTCATCATCATCATTGCCATCATTGTCAGCTGTAATAGTCGTGTACTTGTCGCACAGTAACCCTAGCGGCCACACTTTCGTTCACCGATGACTTGAGGAAGTTGGGGTAGATGGGTGGGCATTGGAGGCGGGAGCTGATAAATTGGTGTGTAAATACTGCACTGTCAGCGGACTGTTAAGTGGCGGAATTGGACCATGTCTGACAATGTATCTAATCATTGATATGGCCCGTCTCGGATAACAGGTGGTAGCTGGAAGTGCTGCAGTCCCCAGAAAAACCTCCTGTAACAGAAGTCACTGGTTTTGAAATTGTGTTCAGTAAAGCGGTCATCACTCACAATAAGCAGAAAAAGATATCACAAAAGAACTGGGCTGAGCGCTACGTTTGTCTAGATCGATATGGCAATACAAACGATACAGCACTACAAACGGCTGTCACTTTGTGTGAAGTGAAATTTATTCCATACTCATTTTATTCAGCTGAAAGATTAAAATACCATGAAGTAGTTAGCCTAAACAAGGCCCGAGTTCGGGAGTGAAAGCTCTCGAGGAAAATATGATAGTGGCGATCATGTGTGTACAGGCATTGGCCATACATGAGTTCTGGTTTGTATGAGCTTGATAGCACGGCAGCTGGTGGGCGGTCTTGAAGATTGGTGCACTGCTGCAGTGAATAAGACTAGGAATATGGTTTGGGCGCTTCAAATAGTAGTTTTTCCGTTCTTCGGTTACTAATCAGCTGAAAAATTGGAGGCTTTAGTTGCCAGTCCGGTCAAGTTCCCCACTACGATCACTAAACTAGTTTGTGATTAGAAAATACCGATACTACTTATTGAGTCAACTAAATTCGCTCCGCATTGGTTGCTTGGTTCAGTACCGTCTGAAATGATTGCGTCGCATTTGAATGCACTGAAATACTTGGTGCATTATGCGATCAGGGTCGCAAAGAGAAATTTGGACTACGAAAACTATCGAGGAGAAATTCCTTCTTTAAACTTACAGTGATTCATTTTAATTTAGAGCGACTAACCGTGGAACCGATCAAATAAAACAAGCTAAAACGTAATGGGTTTCAAGATGCTTGCATTCGGATGAAATGAAGGATAAGTTTACATTACCCTTACTGGTTTCCGTTTGTTCGTTAGCTATATCACATCGCTGGGAGGTGAAGAGTTTGCAAATAAATTGCTCAGCCATGCAATCAATCTTACTGTATTAGGTTGTTTTGTAACGTTATATCAGAAGTGAGAAAATACTTTCGAACATTGTTCAGTTAACGACCATCTAAACATCTAGGTCGTACACCGGTCTACATCGTACTATATGTGTCTTGCTGGCTAAAATTCGACACAGACTGTAAATTTTTGCCTATCTCGTTGGTTCACTCATTACCTATCTCAAAACTCGGACTATATCGGTAATTCGTCAGCAATTATTGTACACGGGTTGATTTTCGACCGACCGAGCTCCCTTGTATGGTTCTCTGAGTGTAGCATATTCAATCATGGGAATTTGGTATCGAAGGAACCCGCCGCCACTCTCTAAGAGGATGTCGTCCTGAACTAAACCACTACATTTGGAAACCACCTGGATCTCTTCAGTTGCGTGAGATATCATGATAGTGTCAAAAACAGGAACAGCCCGAGGGCAGAGTGTGTCCGGAGGGCGGCGGTCCTTAATAACCGAGCATCATATCATTCGGACGGATGTGTCACGTGCAGGATACGGATCAAACGAAAGCATGCCCTGATTGGTTAGAATGCCAGCCGATCTGGATCGAGCATCTTAGCTTGACGCTTCTCCCACCCTTACGGAGATTCTAGCACGACCCTGTGGAACATTCTGTGGTTACCCTATAATAACTATAATAAATTTCCTTTGTCTCCAAAAAGGCTGTCTGAAGTTACCGTGCCTTTTGACACATCATAGTGGGCGGAGCAGGAAACCAAGGGACCAATACAGAGTTGCATGACCATTCAGTAAGGCCCAACAGAATGCTTCACAAAATTCCGTATCTATGGCATATTTCCTGCAGATAAAGCTGCAGTAAAAGCTGTATGCTTTTGGAGAACACATTCAAGTGATTTTGACGAGTCCTAGTATTCCATTATACAACCAAAGCATTCTTCGTTCGTTAGGAAACTCCAAGGCATTGCCTTCACTGCATAGCTCCCTTCCCAATTCCGCCACCTAACAGTCCACGACAGTGCTGTATTTACGCGCTAGTTTTTCAGTTCCGCCTCCAATGCGCAGCCACCTGCCCCACCTCCTCAAGTCATCAGTGGACAAAACTGTGGCCGCTAGGGCTACTGTAGGACAATTACGCGGTTATTAGAGCTGATAATGATGATGATGGAAGGCTTCATAGTAAGAGACGGATCTGACAGTTTCCTGATAGTTTATGATAAGAACAAACCATCCCAAAATTACAACAGAATTTCATGTAGGAAAAAAGATTCTGATGGTTTAAAGTTCTAGTACAACGTGAAATGAGCATTCCCACTTTCGAAAAAAGTTCGCCCAATAGATATTTTCCCAGAAGCGATTTGGTTGTCTAATTTCTTTTGCTGTGAAAGTTCTTTTCTGTGAAAGTTCCTTGTCTGCAGAAGTCCGTGTAATGAAGCAGGGTACACTTGACCTCCATATACCAACACTCGGGCATAAAAAGAACAATGGCGTTCGTGCGGCAGACAGTTGTGTCTGCTATCTTGGGCTAATTTCACCCTTAGAATAAGGCTAAATGAACTGGGTTCATCCACGCCAAACCGAGTTAAACTACGCTACCGGATCATGCTCTACCTAGGACTGCTCACATCATTCCTTACACACATCCTACCACAACCAGTTGATTTCATTACCCTTTCGCCGGATTAGTTTGGATGTCTGAAACTTCAGGTATTCATCTTAGTGAAGCAGGACTGAGATGGTGACCAAACTGGGGGCGCATTCGATACAATTGATTGAAATGCGTTACACACCACGCAGCACAAAGATTTCGAAAAACAAAGCTCCAAATGCCCAGAAAAAAGTGACAGACATAAAACCAATTTTTTTCGCCCGGAACTACGACAGAATTATAAGGGTTAGCTCAGGAGCACTTAAATAGCATCAGGTGACCGGAGATGGGGCTAGGTTCTCGTTAAAAGGTTGATCCTTTTTAGAAATTATGGGTAGAATTATTTTGTTCAGAGAGCCGAAGGTTGGGGCTTTGTAAAAAAAAGACGACAAAGATAAATTGCCTGGCTGAGTGAGGTGTGTGCACGCCGCAGTTTTGGGGATGCCGGTCAGAAACCTTTGGTCTGAGATGAGAGTTTGGTGTTTCGTTTTTATAGGACAGCAGTCTAAATCTATTTCGCTGTAAACTTCTGAATCCAAGAAGGTTAAGGGAATTTAGACGCGCCGACATCAACAAAAAACGACCTCCATGTTCTCGTTGAAGTATTTTCAAGTCAGTGAAAATGCAATATAATATATTCGTTAATTGATATCACGGTGCGTTCTATATCTGACAAAAGTTCCAATAGCACTAAAATATTATGAGTTCGTTTACGGTTGAAAATTTACTGAGGTAATCCTTCGGGATAAGCAGCAGTCTTGGAAGTGTTTCTCGTACACAGAGAGTACTTTGTTAGAAGCTCCCGGAAAATTGCACCACGAGAGACAGCGTCGCCAACGATAAAACACTTGAAAGGCCACATCTCCTAGCATTGTCCCTAGTGCGTTTGTATTTTAGGCTAACAGTTAACAGCCGACAGAACCGCACTACAACTGACAGATTTATAAGTGTGAACTTTCGAGAAGAATGGGTGGGCAGATTACTTACTCTGACACTTGAGAATAAAATCGTCCCTTTGTTTTTCAATTTCTGCTCGCTGTTGTTGTGCCTCTAGTCGCAGATTGGACAGCTCGATTCGAGTTTTATGGGTTAGATTTGTTAGGCGTTGTTCCGCTTCGGTTGATGAACGTACCGCCGTCGCCGAGCGCTGACGTTCTTCCTCAAACTCCGAGCGAAGTGCATTGTATTCCGTCCTCAGTAGCCGAAGCTGAAAGACATGTTAAATTTTGCTTTTCGTCACTTGCACACGCAGAGCAATGGTATTAGCTAACGGATGCTGACATTTCCTGTTAACTAATTAGTTAATAATCTAGCCGGAATCTGCTAGGGTTTAGCGGCTTCGTGACAATGTACTGTAGTCAATTCTGTGAGCTTTTCTTTGGAAATAGATGAAAAGTTCATCAGCATCCTGCAATCACTGACAGAATACGTCGAAAGGAATAGAGTCGCAGCTCCCGTTCGGGACTTTGGGATGATGGTTATAAGGTCAAATGTCCACCAACCTGAGATTCTGCGGAAGCAACTGAGCACTGCTTTAAACTGCCGGTCCATCACGCGGATTGATGGAAACAATAACAAGGAGCAATACATTGCGAGTTTTCTTAACCGCAAATCACTGCTACTTGGTTTTCGTTTAGGATGAGCAAGCTTGATAGCCAAACAACTAAGGAATACAGGAGCAAAATTTTGCAACTTAAGAAGATGCCAAATATCTACATTGTGAAATATTACCGTTTAGCCGATTGATCACTCGCTATCACACGACATATGGTGGGGCCACAACGAAAATTTGTACGTCAGTATTCAGAGGAGTTAGTCAATCCTCGTTGATATTTATTTGTCCGTATTATGGCAGAAAGTCCCACGAACAGTCATTACCAGTGGAAGTAGATTAGGCTTGTTGAGAAATCTAACGGGTTATTTCTGAAATGAAATGAGGATTTGTTGTGTGTCACTAACTACAATCACTCAGATCAGAACTGGTGTCATTTCCCGAATCGACCGTAGTTAGTAAAAATGCTACGAACCATAGACAACTATAAGTGAAAGACTTGCTAACATTGTCTTCACTATCGGAAATGACCGGTTGGTTTCTCCTTCCGGTAAGAATAACAGAGTAGTTTGGTCACTGGAATTAAAACTCACTTCATCATCATCGACAGCATGACATCAGTGTTCAACACCGGTGCTTCACTGCCGTACAACCATGATTTATTTGAAAGCCTTATTGTAAGAAAAAGAGTAAAGGTGGATGGGGAAGGGACTTAGTGCTAACTAACCACAATCATTCCGAGGTGCCTATACCTCCAGACACTCATTCAGGCGATCTGCATAGAAACTGACAACAACAACGCCACTAACATCTTATAGTGTCTCCAACCCTCATAAATGTATTGCGATTATTTTAGAGCTATTGTATAAGAGGTCCAAAACCAATGATTGAAAAGACTAAATTTCTACAAGAAGTACGCTGCAAACTTCATGCGGAATTAGTCTGCTTCAGTGTGCGAGTGGTCACTGCTTTCGTATTCACGAAACCATCAATTTTCTATAAAACTGTGGAGCACTTATAAAGGGAAACAAAGACGTTTGACGTCGCCTCTCCAATGACATGTATCCTAATCAAATTAATTTTCGAAAAGTTGATGAAGAGTTTTATTGTATGTCTTCATGGAAACGAGAAGATATCCATTACCTGATTCTTCAGGCTATCTCGCTCGGCCCGCACCTCCTGATTTTCCGCTTTCAAATCCGAACAGGTGTTCCTCAATGTGTGATTCTCAGTTTGAATTTTCTCCCTATGTTGGAAGGAACAATTTATTTTAATGAACGTTTTCATTATTCGTAGATTCATAGGCACACATTCAAACGTACCTTTCGGTTTTGCGTAGTTGTTTCTGTTCCTCCAATTCCTTTGAGACAAGCTCATACTTAGCAGCAAGTTGTGCATTCTCTTTACCGGCATCTTGCGATCTTGATATTTCATCCGCTGTTAGCCGTTTAATGCGCGAGTTCAAATCTTCTTTGATTTTACGCAGGTTAGAAATCTAAATGTTGAAAAATGCTCACTATCATAGCTGTGGTGCTAAGAATTACACAGGACTGCTCGCAAGGGTCTATTTCACAGAAACAGCACACTGCACCCAACGAACAACCATCCAGTTTTCCTGAACCCCTCCTGTATTGTTTACGACGACATTAACCCTAGAAACCGGTTCGCACCAGGGGAAAACAGTATAAGCTTAGCGGTAACTGTTTGTTTTGAGAAACATGCACAATTTTTGTAATCGGAAAGGAATCGATGTTTGGTACAAATGTGAAAATCTAATTGGCTAACAAAAAATGGGTCGATAAAGCAATTACAGGTCTTTTGGTATGTTCATCTGAAACCCACAGCCCCTGTTATTATTAATCAGAACTGCTGAGAAATCAGAGGGCATTATCAGAAGTGTACAAGATAGCTTTTGGTACCAGTCGACCGCATATTCCTCTAATTTCATTCGGTTGAGAAAAAGTATATTTCGAGTGATTGGGTAACGTGGCGAATATGGTTAGAATAAGCAATGAAGCGAAAATCTGCTTGGTGCAGAAATAAGATTGCGGAAGCCAAACAAACTTGCAGGACTCCACTCCTCATCAACGGTTCCTGACCACTAGTGGTCGTTTGTGGTCAAATTTTGGAAGCATAAACAAGCTGTTGTTGTCTGCATCCGGATTAAAAATGATTTTGAGGAGACAAAAGAAGGTGGAGGGCTTAAAGTGCATCAGATAATTTTCCCATCTTGACTTTGTTAAATAACTGGTCCATTACTTACTTCCGCATCGTAGATCACTCTGTTCTGTTCTATGATTGCTTGAAACTCAGCACGTTCACGTTCGAGTTCAGTGGTAGCTTTGTCAGCCTCTTCTCGAAGACGAATATTCTCGTTACGTGCTGCAGCAATTCCAGCATGTGCCTCAGCGATCTGACTTCTGTATACCTGTTCAACATCTTGTGTGACCTAGAAGTTGTAAATCGAGGAATGCATATTAAGCTGCCGCCGGGTAAATAATAAGTTCATCCGTTTCGCAGTCGAAATGCAGAAAGCAAACAGTTGTACTTCAAGTCCTCTTACCTGGTTCGAGTAAAGATGTTTTGGAAAGCTGCATTGTGAAAGCAGGAACACAAATGCGTCATTTCAAAATAAATTTATAATCTGGCGCTGAAGCACATGTTTCACCGACCTGTAACTATCCTAATGCCTGTTTTTTGTGTACTTTTGTAACTGTTATATTTTAACAGGAGGACTTCGTTGATTGTTAACAAAAAAGCCTGTAGTAACGTATTTGGTTTCTAGATTCTACAATTCACGTGCACGGAACCAGTCTCACTGAGTCTGCAGGCATGAAAGGTGGTGGGAGAATCGCATAGTCGGTCAGCCATGGAATTTGTCCTCTGCAAAACACGCTCAGTATCAGTCACTCAAAAGGTGTGGTGCACCCGATTACAATGCTCCAATTTTACGTTATGAGTCCATTATATTCAACTAGACACAGTAGTCTAAACAGTAGTAAGCGTCTCAAGAGTCTAACGTAAGAGACACCACCAGGAGACTATGAAAGTTAGTTTTATTGACAAGGATGAAACCCAGAAACTGTCAGAAAACAACAGACTGTCACGGGTTAGTGTGTCCTGTTTCCAACGTGAGAGTTAACGTTTTGTAGGTTCAAGTAAAACTGATGCTCATCTATTTACAAAAGCTGTGTGAATTAGTCCACCGGTGGAATGTGAGTGAGGGAATGTCGTCACTGATTGTCTACACATCCAGAGACAGTTACGCAGCTGATTCCAGCCGGATATTATGAAAAGATGCATTTTGTCAAATCACTTGATCGCTATGGTATACTTGGTGGACTTTATGTAAATTCGTATGCCCGATGGCGGAGAACACAAAGCTTTGTTTCATGAATCACCTAGGGCACCCGAGAATTTACTCGAACTTCATTCTTTAAAATACGCACAGTGTAGTAAAACGCATCCACTGCGAACCGTGACGGGATCTGTGGGAAACACTCGCTTCAGCAGAGTGGACACCCCACAGAATACTCTAGTCTGGTGAGATTCCGTGGTTAAGGATATAGCCCAACGTGTCACTAAAGTTTATTCTTTTTTTTACAGAACAAACACGTATTGGTCAGGTTAGGTCAGACATATCCTACGAGTTGTTAAAACAGACGTAAGAGCCTAATGTGTCTGATTGGTCCAACTGGAATCGATTACTTCAGAGGAAGATTCGTCATAAAGCTCGCATTAGTGGATTTTTTTCGCATTTTATTGTGAATAAATTTTATTTGTCTAGTTTTACTATAGGTTTGCATAAGCCCACCTAAACTTTCTTTACTTTAGCGTGCGATTTACCACAAAAGACTTCATCGGGTCTCCAGCTCTGGCAATTTCATCATGCATATGGGCTCCATATTATAAAAAACCGGCCAAACTGCTCTTCAAGCTAGGGATCAATTAGCCCAGTCTCGGGGACTCTGCCTACCTGATGAGCCCCAAACAGGATGAAACCGGTGATAGGCTGTCTGTGTATTGTTTTCTAATTATGAAGCAGTAAATGAAACATGTTACACTTTGGTTGTAAAATCGGTACACATATTCTAGCAAAGCTCCACCCTTTAATCTGAGCATAAGATTGTGTGTGACTCGTACGCAAATCTTGGACGTTTACCTGAAGTTTGACCATTTCCAAGCGTTCCTTTGTGACTTGTGATCGACAGGCTTCTTCGTAAGCCTTCTCTAGCTTTTGATATTTCGTTTGGAGTTCACCGATTTCCCGTGCATGCTTCTGTCCCGTTAGTTGTTCCTCTTTGATTTTCAGTGCCAGTTCAGAATCCAGTTTGGAATGTGAGGCCTGAAATATCAATGGGATAGATCACCAAGCATCCAAATAGACGCCTTGAACAGATGAGCATAGAAAACAAATTTCTCTGGCTAAAGATAATCTATACGAGAGTTTCAATTCGAATAAAAGCTTCACTTTAGTTTATTGTAGTTAGAAAACCAAATCGGTGTGCCGCTCACTGTGACTAGACGGTATTATCTTTCTCGCGTTCGATAAGAAAGATTTGGAACGCAAGCTGGGACCAGTGTCCCCAAAACCATTTATTCTATTAATCTCAACTATGAAACACATAGTCGTACAAGGTATCAAAGAGTTCCTGTACAGTCACCTCTGCACTGAACTTTTTACAACTTGGCAGAATCAGCCCGAATATCATGTTTTTACAGCCTTTGCATTGATGGAAATTGTATTTTTAGAAATTTATCCACTTGATGAAAACCCCCACCAGTCGTGGACAATTAGAGCTCATTGTGCACTACTATTTTTTATCGTATCAGTGTACACGACAGAATTATCGCGAATGTGCAGTGTTAGATTTAAAATTACTGTAAGATGTTCACACTCGTTTACTAAGGAGATAATCAATTAGTCTCTCCAGGAATCCATTCTCTGATGGATTCTCTTTCCCCGACCGAGATATCTTCCTAACTCCATTCTACTATCAGTGTTCCAACTGTCGCTTGACTCTGACTGGGACCTTCCAAGTGTGTGCATCTTCCGATTTATATGGTGTGCGACGAGGGTTCCATTAAGTGGGGCTGTCGTACGTTTTAGCCATTATTACAGCCAGGATAGCTGGCTCTTTTGTCAAAGTTAATCACTTGTTCATGAGGGGCAACAGTGTCCTGGATTTTATGTTGCACTTAGGTCCTGGTTTTACTGTGCGATAGAAGTTGATGTAAAAAGGCGTAAGTAAACCACAGCTAGCGAGTATTGGTGAGCATATCTGTTAACCATTATTGGACCGTAGCTATAATCATTCAGGTAAGCAGTAGGCTAATCTTTGTATTACTCAATACGATAATAATAGTAATAATTACCGCCGATATCCATCAGTTTCCAACATCTCCGAATGGCTGTCAACAGCGATAATGAACAAAGTGATAAGCCGGAATTTTTATCACTGACAGGAAGGCGGCAAGCTTTGTCTGAATCCGTTTCCTTAGCGACTGGTTTTAATAATAGATAATGAAAACAAATAAACGCCGGCAAAAAAACAAGTGCCTCAAACTATGGGTGCTAACAGACAACTATGACTGCTGCTGACTCCGTCTAAAACGCACCTAACAACAGTAAGGGCAGTGATTCCGAAGCATACATAACCCACTTATCGCGGCTGCTTGAGATGCTATATTTAAAACAAATCTAAGGACTTTACTGCTGCTGAGTACTTTCGAAGTGCCTTAATAGTACTAACCCAGCGCTCAAACTTGTGGGTCTGTGGTTTCCATCCGGCTTAAAATACATAATGACCCATGGAAATTATGAAACTAAGACGATGAAATTCATGTGATGATTTTATTATTTGAAAAAGAATAAATTTTATCCTATTCATTGTAAATGCAACTGGAAAAATTGTATTCTGAAACCGAAAATATACTACTCATATGTCCTGGTAACCAGTTAAATTTATAAATGTTGCATTCATGTTGCTCTACCTCTCGTTTTTTTACTTTGTTTGCTGTGCAAGGCTAACAGCCAAAAAGAACGCTTCATCGGTGAACACAGGATATCAGTGTGAATGTACGGTGACTCAAACCTCTGACACAAACGTTGATAACGTCGTTCTGAATTTTCCAAATATTCATACAATACATTTTTGCAATGTGAATTGCCACAGCCCTCGTCTGCCATAAAAAGTGAATGTGACGTGCATAACGCTAACTTTCAAGCAAAAAAGCTGTTAATGATAACACCATAGTTACGAGAAGTTCAAGCAATCGAATTGATGCACGTGTTCCAAGATAGCATACTAACTAGCGTTTATTGGGGGATCAGGATGGGATCGTCAGCCAACGGAAAAAAGTTTTGTACACTAACACTACGATTTTATGGGAAGCCAATGCTACGACATGAGATTTATGTGGCATATCGTGGAAATTCTTCTATATGAATTCTGTGGTGGATCAATTAGCCTATTTACTGCAGTATCACCAGCAACCATCAATTCAAGCCATATATTATGGAAAAAACTAACCTAACAAGCAAGTGAGACGCACCACAGAGAAGATGCGATACATGCTATATGAGGATACTTGGCAGGTTACGGCCCAATAATTAGCAATGGTTGCATTAGAAATAGGGTCATAAAATGCCATAGCAATGTCACTAGCAACCTTGTTGGAGAATATTTAAGCAGTAACTATCTGCTAACGTATCCTGACGCTGCGGAATTTTCGCTGCGTACACTGGGCTTTCTAGTAACGCAAGTTGTGTCTTGGTTAAAATATCCTCAAGCAAAGAGATGAAGGCGAATTCTGGTGAAAATGCGAGATGCAGTTTTCCAGTTTGGATCCTATAGGGTGGTCCGGACCAATGAGGCGAGCGAAATGGATGTGCAGACTGTCGATGCTAGCTAGCTTTTCAGATGTGGCATTAGAAATAAGAGCGTATTGCATCACGAAAAGGGTAATTCGCCAGTAGCCTTGTTGGGGAACATTTAAGCCGTGCTCTCCGCACTCCAAGTGCATTGCGCAAACACGTTGTACAGTCTTCCTGCGGTACTAAGAATGAATTTTGTTTCCGGGATTCGCAACTAGTGCTGTATTTTTGTATTAAGGAGCGCGCAAAACGAACTATGTCGGAAACATCGGTTTATTGGCTAAAACTGCGTGCTGACAACTAACTGCACCACTCTGAATGTGGATCGCGAGCGTCCTTACAGAAACACAGGAATGGACACAATAAATTATTGATCAAGAGATTGGACTTCAGTTCCTTTTTAAACTGACTATTTTCAAGATATATTTTGGGCCATAGCTGTTTCCAGTCCAAGCGAAAGTAATACGTAGTGGAGTATACTAAACTCAAGCATACGCTGAAATGAGCCTATCCAGAACAAAATTTTGATCCAGGTTTTTGTCAAACGTCTTAACATTGCTTTTGGGTTAAAAACTTAGTTATCTGTTGATGACCATTCTTGGGATCATTCGTCTTGGACAGAGTGACACTGCTTGATTTTCACTAGGCACACACTCCACATTCTCTTCACTAAAAAGCTTGATTCCAAAACCTACATCAGGATTTTGGACAAGAATTGCCATAGGAGGCTTTAGGCGATTACCGATGGCTTGAAGACTTTTGCAATGTTCGATCTGATCAATAAAACCATACAGCCAAAGGTGATTTTTATGGCACGGGTTACTCATATTGTTCTTAAATTATGCAGTTTTGGTTAGACTACTAGAGTTTGAGGCAGAAAGACTACGAGACTCTCTTTCTAGACACTGTCTGAAATTAACTCAACTCAACAAAACTTGCGCAGCCAGAAAGCCCAGTGTGCTCAAGGAAAATTTTGGGGTGTCAGGATATACTGACAGATAGTTTCTGTTTAGCAACAAAGGACAATAATTCCCCATTATTAGTTTTGGCCCTACTGCAATGAATAACCTTAAGGTTGAACCTGGTTTTGCTTACTTTGACGGTTATTGGCAGCTGATGCTATTAGCTGGATGAGAACTTAATCCCACAGATGGCCAGCGTGGAAATGAGGCGTGGCGTCGCACTCTACCAAAATCCTTTGTAAGGCCTGAGTAACTGTATATTAGTAGCTTACGACTCAAAGCTTTAGATGGAAGTTAACTAAGCAGACTAGGTTAACAAACGTCTCGAAGAAACCAGAACGGTTTATGTTCGCGCTAAATAGGATTGACTATCTTTTAATACCGCACAAGAATTCCATCTAGTGGGCCGATGCCCACCCTTGTTATAAAATGCTTGCGTAGCCTATCGCAGTCGCTAGAGTTTGAATCAATCGATGGTCATTCATCAAGAAAAACGAAAGAGAACAACAATCAAGAAGTTATGAAGGTCTAAAAAGCTTCCAAGTCTAATCGATCAAACACTCTGGTTACTGTTTTCCACACTTGTTCGTACATGCTTCGTGCGAGTTGCCTGCACGACCAAATTCACGCATAAAAACACATCCAGTGACCATTTACGCAGGTAACACCAAACGTTTGATCTACCGATTGTCAATTCTGGCGCGCACTTATCAGTGCACCGCTGCCAGCTTACCTTTGAGTTGAAGGTGCCCCTGTTGTTGCGTCTAACATTTTTAGGTTCGCGAAAAATATCGGGGCTCAAAACATGAGTGAAGCAGTCATACATACTACTACTGGCCAAACCGTCTGCTAGCTGTGGACTTCACCGCACACTTTGCTGCTGGCACCAACGTGAACAGTGTCCCATGCTAAACTGGGCCACTGACAAGTAAATAACTACTTTTGTCCGTGCTTCTCGTTAATGTGACAGCAATTTGTCACACAGTACGCAAAATTTACTTATTATAAATAGCAGAACTAAGTAAACCACGAACAGACAGTTGTTTAAAATTACGATGCACGCTTAGTTATTGCTGCGGGCCAGAAGCTTGATACAGCGGAATCCAAATTTAGTACTCTCCGACTGGCTCTTTTGCGAATTTCTGTTCAAGACTTAACAAAATGTGTGACCTTAATCGCGCCGATAGTACCGCAGGCTACCGATGCTTAAGCCGTTCCAACCCACGATTACAATTAAGCAAATCGAAGTTTATCAGATGGTGACGGCACTAGAGATGACCGCGGCCATGCCTAAAGTAAAGTACCATTGGAAAACAAATAGACCATTTTACATTGTCATACAATCATGTTAGGGCCCGGTTTCCGAAGAGAGAGGCACCTGCCGGAGGAAGACATATTCACTTATTTCATGTGGTCAACAGGAACTGATGGTTTAAATAAATATCACAGACATTTTCATTTTGAAAAATGCCAACTGGATCCTTCGCTTACATTATGTTAAGCGCTGACCATCAAACTTCAGTTTTATTTTTTGGTGCGTTAGCGGGTCACTCCAAGCCATAAGCATAGACAGATGTTCAAAGATTCATATTCAAAAGGTGCCGGTCACCATCTCACTAGGTTCAGAACATTGCCGCCAATATGTCGCTCGCTGTTATATGCGAGGCACTTACTCATCAATGATGCATGTGGAAATTGTCAGCGATATGTGGATGCACTAATATTTTCAAAATATTAGATGACTATTCCCGATATAATAGCCAGAAACAGGAACAACGCCGATGATGTAAGACGCAGCCGAGTGTTGCATACCTCAGTCATCCGCTCGTTGAGTTGCTATCTGTAAGGAATATATTAACTGAGCGTGCCTGAGACTGTTGAGATGGTTGTCTGTCCTTTAGCTATTCTCCAAGACAAGAGCAGCTTGCTCATCAAAAGCATGTCTCAAGAAAATATTCGATTAAAGGACATGCATTTGCTGAATCAGGTAATTTCTTTTAAGGTGTCAAAAGTTGAATAACTTAAACCCTCAAGGTAGGCCTGTTTTGACGGCCCCCTCTCTATTTAGAATTTGCCGCGGTAAGGGGCTTGGAGACATTAGATACAAATAGTTACTCAATCGGACTGTGTTTCCACTGGCTTCCCTATGTGACGCTCTTGAGCTCAGTGCTGTTGTAAAAAACTCACTAGTTGGCATTTTTTATAACAGGCGGGATTTTAGTACACCCTGTGCTCACCACGGCCGTTCACATTGTTGGCGATTCCGGGATAATTTTTCTCACTTCTAAATTGTCTCTCCTTTTCAAATCCCAGAAGTTTCATATGTGCTACTTTATCCAAAAAGCGAACAATTTTGTTGTTCACCTAATTTAGCACCATGAGAAGTCCCACATAATAGGCTCCGTTTTCGATGACCTTCGGGGCCATTTGACGAGAAAGACCGCACAACAAAACAGTTTTTGTTTTCTCATACGTTTTACTTATCCAACAAAACGAACCATGAAGCAACAGTTGAGAATTTTCATACCACAGCAGTTGAAATAAAAGACAAAAAACTGTTTACTTTGAGCCAGTGTATGTCTTATGTGTAGTAAGTACCAGTACAAGTTGCAGTTTGCGAGCCAAGCAGTGTGCAAACGCTACCAGCAGTCTGATTGGGACAGGATGCGATATTGACGCATCCCTGGCAACGGCCGCACCTCTCTAGCCCCACTATCCAAATTGAGTGAATAAGTTGAACATAATCAAAAATATATGTTCAAAACTGTGTTTTATCTTAACATTTACTGTGGTTTTAGACCCATTCGGTCACTCACTTCAAGAATGTGGGTTTGGATAAGCGAACAAAACAAAACATTTACCGAAATAGTCATGTTGACACAATCCTAACTGCTAAACTAACAGATGACAGCTTCAGTTAGAAGATGGTCAACTATTTGCAATACTGATGGGTCTGACTTTGACACGGTAATACCAGGTGCGTGCAAATTCTAGATATCGGACAAAACAACGGAGCTACTTGAATCTCGTTGAAATGTCTATGAAGGTCCAAAAAACTATTCAGCCCGACTAATTATAGGACACCAGAAGAACTCAGCTTGCGTACTGACCGCGAAACCTGGTGAATTCGAAAGCTCAAAAAAGAGGTCTGACAGGACGAAAATAACAAAATAAGAGTTTGATTGATTCCCGCAACGGGTGGCCGGGAACCGCCTGCAAGTGGAATAATTGTGAATCAAAGTGTCGCGACCATCTTCAGTAAAGAAGAACTCATATACAGCCGAGTCAAGACAAATCTCGTAACTGTCTGCTGCCAATAATTTGCGACACGACACGAAGTAGAACCCTGGGTAGCACATCTGGGACAATTTACGCCCTAGCGGGTTTATGGCTGCACTTAATTTCTTATACAACACTGAGTACTTGGTCCGGAAGTTTTGTCAGTTAAACTACTTTAAGTGCAAGGGGAAAACCGTGCGTATGAACAGCCCACAGTTTTAGTTTCCATAGATTTCAGGAGCGCGTTGAACGCGTGACCAGTCTAATCTTCTGGCTGCCATTCTGTCATGTTCAGCGAGGAATGCCACAAAAGCTTTTGAACATAATGATTTCTTTGCATTCTCAGCTTTTCGGGCATGTGAAAAGATACAAATGGCGCATAGAACGCTCCCGACCAAAATTTGATGCTGGACAGGCGCGGCCACTTCATGAATCTCTGTTCTATTTCCTGATGGACGAGATACTGAGGAGAAATCCTGGTCTAACAAGCCCTGGTTGTCGCATAGCTGCTAAGGAGAATCCTTTAATTTGAAACATCCGGGCAATATGGTTCTCACCTTTGTAGAGGAGAAACAGGCGCATGTGTTTTGGATGAACTGAACAAAGCCATCTAGCCCTTTGAAATGCACTTTGTGTCCACAAAATGTAATTCTCGACATGGAGTCATTGGGCATGCCACTTAGAGTCCAAAGAGAAGCAGTCAAAGTTGTGAAGACTTCAACGCATTGCAGCTGCTTTTATTTCCAAATTCAGTGCGACGGATTACGTCAACGTACAGGTCTCTGAGGCTCGGGTCGTGTCTGTTAATTTGTGAGACCTATGGCAAAAATAAGGTATATCCTAAATCTTAGGGGACGTGCGTATCAAGCCACGCTGTGAGTTTGTATTATCGTATGACTGTGAGAAGCAGCCTGTTTAAGTAGTTTAACGGAGGACTATTCAGCCTTCCAACAGATGTTATCTCAGGACAATGGCTCATTTTGGCTGGTGCCGGTGAGTCCGCAACGAATAAATTAGAAGATTGTTTGTGTGTGCAACGAGGACTTCAATCAAAGAATGGGCTCAACGCTGAGAGCTGCGGTGGTGGGTTATGCATTACTCATTACGGTTTTTGTTTACCTTAACTATCCTTGTAATTATGAAGGTGGGGCGGCGGAGAGGCAAAGGCATTATCATTCCAGAAAGTGTGGAATTTCTACTTGGGTCTGTTTATCCTATAAAGGCGGCAAAGTATGAGAGCATTAACACTGTTGTAATATTTCGCTAATATTCCGGTTTCTGGAATGCAGCAAAGTTCAAACGCTTTACTTTGCGTAAGAACTGTTGTAGTTGCAGGTTTGATTGATACCGCCGTTTATGGAGATTACCTTGGTATGTTTCTTGCCATTTGCATATTTTTTAATTTATTTTTCAAAACTTACGTTTACTTTGATCTGAGTGTAACACGCGTCTTTGACGGGCTTTTCGAACACATATGGACCACAGATATTTGCGGATGATGTGAGGTTACCTGGACATTTGGATCGATTCTTCGCATTTTAGGTTAAATCACTGTTATGGAAACTGAAGAAGGATATTTCCGGGCCGTTCAAAAAACAACGACGTATTGCTAGACGATCAGAATCAACTTCTGCTGACACTATTGACTGACAATCCGATATTGAGAAGATCTGAACATTTAGGGTTCCAACCTATTAGAGACTATAAACACCCGCACGCTCATTCAACGTGTGGTGGATGTGGTGAACATTGACTCTATTCTATTCATTCTGTTTAGTGTATTTTTATATGCCTTTGTTTTACGATGCGATATATAGTACGCCCGCGATATACGAAAATATACGATATTCATTCGTCCATATTCGGACTTCTATACTTCGCGTACATTCGGTAGTTACGATACCTACCACTATTCTAATTATCACATGTTGGAAGGTTACTGTTGGAGAGGTGCACTTCTTCCATCAGATGGTTTATTATTTTGTATATGGCGTCAGAGAAGGGCATATTTTTGAAATAACCAACACATTTTTCAGAAAACATAATCCCGAGCACTCATTTACTATTTGTGGAGTTGAACAATAACGGGTCCAAAGAACTTCAAATATTTTGCTTACCGTTGGGAAAAGATGGGTGTATGACTGAAGTATTTAGAGAAATGCATCATATCGTGTGCATCAACGCAATAAGTACAAAAAAGCAACTTAAGAGAGATTAACACAATGAAAAAATGGGGGAGTTGGGTGCTTTCTTGGTTAGATTCAGCGAAAAATAAGTGAGTATCTTCACCTAACCAGAGCTTTAGTGATAAACGTTGTTCCTCTTTCGAGACTGAGCTGCTTTTAACTCCGTCTGTCAGTCAGGAACATGCTGTGTGATCTTTTTGCCCCTGAGATTAAATACCAAATAACTTGGTCAAAAGGCGAAGATGAAAAAGACTTATAGCATGCACAAGGGCTAGTAAAGGGTGAAAGGAGTCTTCCATACTGACATTTGCCGCTTCAGAAGCTATGTACTCTGTGGCTACACACTTGACTCGCCTAGCGGTTTTTACGCACAGAAAATCAGTTTCGGTCCAAAGAAGCTTCTTGTCTGACCTACAGAAACAGAAAATTTGAGATCGAATAACAAAAATCAGTGATGTTATTCTATTATTCATAAAATACGTATAATTTTGCACTTATCTCGTTATCCTTTTACCATGCATCCTGTTATCTCAAGCATGACGCAGCTGGTAATTAGGTAAGGCGTTCCGTCTTAATTCAGAAGCCGTGAAGTGGTCAAAATTATTCATCTGAGGCGCCATTAGTTAACCATTACATATGCGTCAAATTATTTTACGGCTGCAACCGTTAATCTCATGCAGCTGCAGTGAATGAAGAAAATTTTTGGAAAGAGCCGAAGAAAGTTGCAGGAATTTTTCGAGTTGTCACCTTAGCCATCGGCTTATGCTATTACCACAAACTCGTAGACAACCACGTAGACAACACTGGTTAACAGTACTTCAACAGGATAAGTGAGGAAACGCACTTGGAGCTGTTGATAAGCATCTTTCAAGTCTTGGTAATTCTGCCTGTGGCGAATCGAATGTAACCTGTCTTCTTGGAGCATATCAAAAGAAATCATCAGGGATTCCTGTGTATTAGGTAGCCCTCCTTGAAATGATTTATCCGACGCCTCTTCATCATCCGCAGGTGATGATTGGTGTTTCCTTATTTTCATTGAAAAGTAATAAATATTCGTGTGAAAGATTGTGCCTTAGTCAAATGCGTTCTCGCAACCCCCATCAGCGTCCATTTTTAAATCGGCAGTAATTTATCGAAATAAAAAATAGTGCACAAAAACCAACAGTGGGTAATTAGTTCAGAAAGTATATGGTATCTTCGGCTTGCGAGTAAAGGTCGAAACTCAAAGTGCAATCTGGGCCTGGTAAAGTCAGTCTTGTTGCGGCACGTTTTGGGGGGAAAAAATCCAAGTTTGGACGTCAGTGCGTATCGGTCCAAGCGAAATATCTTCCCCACTTTAGCAGCCCTGGTGCACGCAAAAGACATACTTAAATGAACATGTTGGATCGTAATATGCTGAACTGCGTCGCGCCCGAAACCCCCGGGGCTCCTTGATGTGCTCAATGGATTACCAAATTTCTAAGTTTGGGTCAATCTTCCGAGAATCCCATGGCCCACATGGCATCAAACGAAATATCCTAAAGGAATGTACCCTTCCGAAGGTCTCCCGACCAATTCTTGTTTCACTCCTTCACGACGTCGACTTTTCTTCCAATCTGCTGAACCCTGGCTATCGTGCACCTACTGTGCATGGATGATGTCGGCGTGGCCCCTCTGAACACCAAGCAGTTCCTCCGGAAATACCTGTTCTGCAAATGCTCTACAAGTTTCTCATGAACAAAGCCAGTTCCCAGATGAGGAACCACACAGGTTTCCTGATTTCTAAGAGGGTACCAACAGGACAACACATTTTATTCATTCTGAATGAGTAAAATCTTTACATCATTGACCTTTCGCTTCGCTATTTACCAGCCAATTTCATCTGCGTAATATGTAATTTGCATTCATTAGCTAGCTAACTGAAGCATTTTGCGTAAATTCTCAAGTATCACTCCGTTAAGTTTTTCCTCCCCTGACACCTGTTAGTCCTCCATACTATTTGCCATCCCTGATGGTTAGTGCTGTTGTATGCAGATGAACTCAGGACTCGAATTGACGCAGTCATTTTTCCAAGTCGGCTCATTTGAAGCCCATCAGAAACCCTCTCAACTTACAGTGACAAATAGGTATATTTGGAATGTTAAAACCATCAACTTTGTCTGCTTAGAACTCCAACTAAAACGGATGCTCGCTTAATCTTTTTTGTGCACATCCACAAAAGCCAGGGCCCTGGGTCCAAATGGCCGCTCCCTGTCACATATGGACTCCCAGACTCCACTAAGGCCAGGTGAGTGTTCTGACACTTCTGCCGCTGCTCCCTATCTATTTAACATCAGAGCCTCCTAGAACATCAGAGCCTCCAACAACCGCACTCTACCTAAGTCCGACCTCTCTTAGGAAACCATAGTCAAGCGTGGAACTCCGATTTGTGCCCAAAGAAACTGTCTTGGGATTATTCAGTGAGGGGCAACTAAGAGTGTTCAATCTCGTCACCACCCTTCCTACAGCAACCTCAGCTTAAGTTTCCATATCCATATATCGGCGTTTTTAGGGCCGTCGTGTTCTTATACGCTGTCTTACTGAACTGCTCCTGCGCTGCTTTTCCGATCCTCACTCAAAATAACGATAACTTTGGTCGCAAAGATGTATTCATCCAAGTGTTGCATACCAACAAAGCCCTTTCTGAAACAATGGTTTTCATTTGCCTGCTTTTTAACGGCTGTCCACAGTCTGAGGCAAACTTTATACATTAAACTTCCCGGTCAGCTTTTGCCAAAATACGTGCCTCTAGGCTTTGTACCCAGAAGAGTCCCTGTAGCAAGGCTTGGGGCATTGCAGTGATAACCGCTGGAAAAGTTCAACTTATTAGGAAGAACCCGTCTGAGATGCGAACGAGGCCAGTAACCATCTTATCGGCATTTGCAATTAAGCGCCCCAGATGACGAAATTAGGCTTTCCAGAGGTTAGAGAGACTAGCTTCTGGTGCGCCGCCGGGGCAGCGACTTTTCCTTACAGTACTCAGTTTTGTCTTTTGATAGCCTCGTAATGGATATCATGGTTGAACTGACCGGGTTGGCTATGTCGAATTCTGTGGTAAGTGAGACTTGGATCAGCCAGCAGGAATTAACACAGACTGAATCAGATCAATGCGTGATAATCGGTGTTTTCGTTTGAGTTAAAGATCCATGTCGATTTGAAGAGATTATTACGCAAAGTGAATAACGACCACACGTTGCGGGCGAACGGTCAAATTCGCATTTTGGAGAGAGTCGCTGGGTTTAGAACATTAGATGTAGTGAGTGTGGATTGGTATGGGAGATTGTCCGCCTGTGGAAAAAGCTGAACGTTAGCGCAGTTTGCGGGACCAGAGCAAGTTTCGGTTGAGCCCAATTATGAGGAACTTTGCGTTAGGTGACCAGCAAACAGTGACAGTGAAATACTAATACATTGCAGACACGCTCAGAATGAACAGATATAAGTGAGGCATGGTTAATTGCGTACGCAGTACACGTAGGTAGCGATGCGGTGCGCCAGCGGTGATGGTAAAAGGACTACTTCATGGCTTGCACTGGGCGTCAGTCGATCAGCAGGCGTAAGATCAGAACAAGCGAGCGGTTGCTAAATTTCAGCAGTGAGAAACTTAGCTTACGAGATAACCAACATAAAGGCTGATAAGCATACGGGTCGCTAAGAGTGATTACTGAGGAGGTAAGAGAGGCAGAGGCTGCAAATTCTAGCTGCTAAATAGTCTCATCACGAGGTCCTGATTGTGCAGAATGGTGGCCACTGTGTGAAAGGCAGCGGAGAGATAACGAACGAGGGAGACAGAACATCCGAGATAAGCGACAATTTCATTTATTTAATTTAAGCTTATTACGTGAATTTAATGGTGGGTATAAAAGCATGTCCTAATCTCACCTAATTCGTTTTTGAGTCGGTGGTTTATACACAAGAAAGGGTCCAGCAATAAGATCTACAATGTCACCGGTTTTGGCAAATATATCTGTAAAAGAATTTGAAAGAGAGCTGTCGCTGGATTCCCATACCGACCCAGGATAGTCTGGTGGCGTGATGATGACGCTTTCGCCATGATGAACCGGGACAAGTTCAGTTAGAGAAAAAATTTTGTCTGATGAATGTATGTGCTCTGAGCTTGAAAAACTTCTTACTATGTCACCGCCGTGTGCTTGCTGGTTCAACGGTGAAAAACCTGTTTGCCAAGCTTTGTTCAAACAGGGCATAAGTAAGAATTAGGTCCCCTCGGAGTCGACGGTACTCCAGGGGAAAGAGATCAAGCATCGCGAGACGCGTTTCGTAGTCCACGGATTTGAGGCCGGCAACCATTCTCTTAGCGGCCCGCTGGACACGCTCAATGAGGGTGACGTCTTTCGTGCGACCTGAGTAGATGACTTGGTTGGCGTACTCCAGTAGCGATCTGACGTAGGCCCCATAGAGTATTTGGTAGTCCAGCGAGTAATACGGGAGAAGGTGTGTCGGATCATCCGTAAAATGGCAAACTCCTTTTGGGCCGAGTTCTCATTGTGCAGTGAGAAGGACAAGTTTGAGGAGACCCAGATGCTCAAATTCATTTTGGCATCTATCCTCATGATGTTTTCTGGTCTCTTTTTACCATGAATAACAAAGGCATTCGTTTACACTGGTCTTTTTAAACTGCATGACACCTAAGATCGTGGGAAACTAAGGATCGCAGTGCACGGAAAGCCAATCCACTGGGGCAGGTTCAAACTACTCGTCTGGTCATCCAAAGTTGGTATTCGCCAGTATTGCCTCATCAATGCTTAGGGGTGTAAGGGCCCTGTGCACAGAAGAAGCTGACGGGATGACCACCCAAACTGAAGTACAGAACAAACTTCGGGGTACTGGATATCCAGCTAGCTTGATTAGGCGTCAATCTTGAAGGGTGTTGGTATCGGTGACGAAACCCAATGAGGAATAGATCGGGACGTCGGAGGTCATTCGAAGAATTCTAAACACGGCTAACATAAAAGTAGCTTTCCAAGGGGGGAACAGTCTATGCTCTTCACTGGTGCAATTGAAGAATCGCCTCCCGGAAGACAGAAGCCAGAACTGTGCCTACAAAATTAGCTGCGACGACTGCACCAAGATCTACAGAGGACAGACGGCCGGGGACCTACACATCAGATTCGGAGGGCATAGTAGAAATGTAAGCAGTCCGCTGGAAAACGCAGATGAATATCAAGCGTTACATAAAGAATCGGCAATTGCGCAACACGTGGGACATGCGTGAACATGGGACGCAAAATAGATTTAGAAAATTTTGAGGCTCTGAGGTGAGGAGCACGGTCCACGCACAGAGGCTGCTAACCGATGGGATAGAAATTGCCAAGCAATCACGTGTTAACAGAATAAAAGACGTGGGACTGGCAAGCATTATAAGAACAGTTTTGGATCGGTCGAGTTGACACGTGTCGGTGTGCGGTCATCATTAGGAATAGTACCAACAACTGAATTCCACCCGAACTCAATTCCTCAAAATAGATTGTGAGGGCACTCACAACCCTACAAAGACCAAGTAAAATCTACCAGTGGCGACAGAGCACCCTGAAGTGATAATAAGCGGACCAAACCCGATCAGAATTACCTTGAAACTCCTCAAATCTGCTAAAGCAAGATTTTGACAACCACGCTAACCGACAAGAGCCGTTAATTGACACTAAACACTGATCGAGTGTGATAATCCGAAGAGAACTGAATTACTGGTTGGTTCCCAGTCTGTCTCATAACCTGCCCAATTTGTTGTCCTCTTCACTTGGCCTGATGAAGCTTTTGTTTCAAAAGTGAAACGATGCCCGAATAAAAACTACCGATTGTTTACCAAACTTTTCTGGAACGATTGCCCCTCGATCGGTTCCAAGTTTTTCCAATTGATTCTAAACGGTACCTTATTCTGAACCCTTTATTCGCCTTATTCATCTCCAAGCAGTGCGTGGTGCGTATCCACTAGCTGCGAATGTAGGCATCGGGGGAGTCAAAATATCCGCACTTTATTTTTATGTGAGCGCTATCAGGAACAGT